TTACTGCTTTAGTTTGATCAAGCAAATTTTCAAACACAAAGTATATTCTGGGTAAATATTAGTTAATTTCAACTTTTTACTTTTATTAAGCATATGTAATACAAAATGTTTTCCCTTTATGCAAAAAAAAATAATGGCAATTTTTGGGTTATATTTTAATACACAAGAACTTCAGCCTCCCTCTTATTCAATTTCTACTTAATTTTATGAACTATATTGTTAATGATGTTGTGTCTCTATTTCTCAGTGAATTAGTGAACATATACTTCAAGATTCTCACTCCAGTTTACAAATGGATACACATTTTTATTGTCAGTTTCCGCATATGCCACTTAATATTTCAATGGGAGGCTAAATTTCTTTGTTTGGAGCCTATGTTGGAGTGGGAAAAATAGGGATCAGGAGACTCATGTAAGGTCCCACTTATCTGCGAATCTGTGGTTGCTAAATTGCAGGGAGAAAATATTACACTCAGGTGAATCTATCTTTGCTTTATTATCTAATTTGTAACTATCAGAGATACATTTATGCCATGGAAATTAATGTCCTCCTCCATGTCTACCTATCAAATATTATCTGCCTTTTATTTATTAACTAGGAATAGCTTAACCATTCTTTTTTGAAGCGACATTCATTTTTTTCTGTTTTTCTTAGTCATTCCATAGTTTTTGCAGTCATCTTGCTTCATTTAATATATCTTATAACTGGAAGAGAGAGGATTATTATAGCCCTCATTTAAAGCCAAAAGAGCAAATTCTTTCTTGGCTGGGCTTATGAGTACAATGATAAAAAAAATATTAATGAATAAACTATTTCCTGCCCTAAATGCTGAAGGTCAAATAAAATTTTACCTTCATCTGAGTTAAACTAAAAGCTCACTGGCATAGCTTGTTAGGATATAGTGAAATATTTATTATTCGGCTAGGGCAAGAAATGATTGACATTGTAATTGTAAAACCTACTGTATAGGCATAATAATGATGGAGATACCATGAAATTAGTTTTAAGGAGATAACATGAAGATACTTCTAAAATTTCTAATATATTACAAAATAAATATTTTCACTTGATAGTGTTGATATAAATTTGAACTGATAAATAATTTAGCAATAAACGGGGAAAATTATCACATATCCTAATAAAATTAAACCACAAAATCTATCTTAATTCTATACTTAGAATGATAGCATTCCATTTCTCCGTAAAGACTATTAGGAGCAATGGACTTTTTAAGGCATATAAGGAAACAGATGCATCTCTAGAAGATAAGGAAATAGAAGACCACTGACATTTATTAAATATTTATAATGTACCACATGGTATCTTCATGCTAATGTAAGTACAGGTAATGTTACCTAGTTTTATAAACTCGGATTTCCTGTATATTCTTTTCTGAGGACACACAATAAGGGAAGTTTAGAAGGGGTAAGAATGTGTGTATATATAGCTTCATTGGAGGAACTATTTCACTGAGCAGTGCAAGAATTTGTATTATAAGGAAAAGCTGTAAAGCAAGAAAATAAGAGAAAGGGACATATAAAGAGACTGAAGCAGTAATACATTTGAGTGGGAAATATGCTCTTAATAGAAACTTCAACATGATTTAGCTATATTTGTACTATGCTCCAAATTATTATCTACAAAGTCATCCAGATAATTAAGGGAGACATATATGATAAACATAAAAATTAAAATTTTGACAGAATAAAATAAATAACATTTAGTAATTACATTAAGCCTGTTTTCAATCCCATAGTAAGCTATTAAAAATAGAACAACTGTTCTAAGTATTCTGCCAAATTTCTTCAAAATGACTTGTTTTGAAATGTTGACTAAATATTCCAAAACTGTATGTCAATGTTAGTATAATTAAACACTCTTCAGACCAAAAACTATAGCTTTTTCTTATATTCTTAAACATAAGTTATATATGACATTTCCTTTAATGTTAGGACACAAAGGATTATCCATTTGTTAACTTTAATTTTTAGAAAGTTTCTGCTACTTATATAGAATATAATTTATATTCTTCTGCATGTGGAATTCTAAAAATTCGCTAAGAAAAAAATCTAGTCTCAATATTTCTATTTTTGCATAAGTATTTAACATATGTGTTTATGCATTCACTATTTATTTGATCAATATTTAATGAATGAGTGAGTGAATGTAGCTTAAATTAGGTAAGTGACTTTAAAATCACTCATGAAGTAGACACACCTGAATTTCTCCATTTTATCACTGTACAGGGAAAACACAATATTCAAAAAATTAGACAAATGCATGCAGTAAATGGTTTATTGTTTTGCATGATAAAATGTGATATGTTGAATGACATATGTTCAAAGTGTTGTTCCTCTTTATTGATGATAGCTCAAACAGATTTGCAATGAACATGGTGCATTAATGCAGCAATTATACCAATCCTTAGATAGACATTTGCAATCCAAGACCTGAAGTAATGTGTGTTGCCATTTTTCACTGAATGCATCTGTATCTATAACTTTTTTTTTTTAATTAGAAAATTCTAATCTGTAAAAGTATTGCCTATACTTCCAGAGTTGTTGACTACTCTTGCTTGCTTATGCTTTCTCCCCCCAGCTATGGAAGATAATAGGCTCCCCTCAGTATAGATAGTCCTACTTCAGCATAGAGGGTAGCAGTATAAGGCTCACTCAAGTTTTTTGCCATAGAATATTATGCCAAACTTTAGAAACTTGGGGTTAATTAATTCTATTATTCCTATTATCCTTGATTACTCTGCCTTGTCCCACTGCCACTAACAAATTAAATCTTGTTTTTGTATTCTTAACCACAGCTGATATATTTCCCAGGTCTTTCCACTGTGGCCTCTGGAACAGGAATTTGTTTTGCAAATCATCTGTCCCTCATTGAAGGAACATTCTCCATGACATTTTTACCTTATTTGAAATGGGTTCTTCACTAGAAAGCATTGCTTCCCTATGAGGCTTCACTGGGGAAACAGCTCCTTATTTCAATTTTAATGTCAAATGTCATGAGGTAGCATTAATATTTTACCCGAAATTCTTTAGGATCACAACATTTACTTTAACATCCTGTTCCTTTTCTTATCACTATTATCTTACTAATCACTTCTCTTTCTGCAAGTAGGGAACTTACATTTGGCTTGTTATCTTTCACTCTACCATAATTTCTAACATCAGGAAATTTTGATGCCTACTTGATTAGCCAGTATCCTACCACTGTATTTCTTGGTCTTGTCAAATCTAGTGATGTACTAAGACAATGGATTACTTTCTCCTATCTTGGATTACTTTATCTATTTCTATCTCAAACCCCCTGCCTCTAAAATTCTCTATTTCCTGTTAAACCTATATTTCATTCTCATTTTGCTACACAAACTCTACTTCTAGTTTTACTCCACGTATGTCAGACCACTGCTGGCTTTCTCTATCAGCAGAAATTTCATACTACTTTCAGGATACTCAAAATGTATCCCCCAACTCTGAAATATAAGCATCAGGATCTCTTGGGCCACATCCCATGTATATTAATCTAGAAACCCTGACAATGGAGCCCAGAAGTCTTTGATTTAAGAACTCTCTGGGTGATTCTGATGTACTTAAGATTTGAAAACCTATTATAGATAGATCATTGATTCAGCCACTGTCTTGAAAAAATCTATAATATCTTTGGTGGTAAAAATAGCAAAATATGAGTGGGTCATTATTTTCCCCAAACTCTCTGGCTTTCTTCATCATCCACCTTCTACATAAAATTTTCACCTTCATTACAAATGTTTTTCGTAGCTCCTGTTTTTCTAAGTATGAATATTATGTGAAACTGATAAATGTTCACTACTTAATGATACTTCCAAAGATATGTCCCTTATAATCATCCTCTGTGGAGGATAATGAAAGATGCTAACTTGCTCAAAGCCACATATAGGAAGGGATAGAGCCAGAATTTGCACTCAGGTATGAGTACAGATCCCATGCTTTTTATGTTTTGCTGCTGAATTATATGAAGTAACTATGATATTAATATTCTGATTTTATTCTAGTTTAAGCAACACTTAATCAATGTATGCTCTATAGAATTTTAAAAAGATAATCTACATGAAACTCTATTACCAAACAACGTTGATAAAATCAGGTTTAATAATTTTATTTATTATAGGAATTCTAAGAGATTTTAACATATCGTGTATTTGATCCTCCAAAATCATATATAATATATTGTCCAGAATTTGTTGAGCAAGGATTCATTTATGTGTGGAACATCTGTATTGACACTATGCAGAACTAGTATTCTAAGTGTTATTTTGGAACATTTAGACTTAATTTATTTAATTTATCTTAGAAAAACTTGTCTCCCTAGATTTATTTTAACCTGCTTTTACTCCCTCTTTTCTCTCTCTACCCTTTTAATGTAGAATACTCATGTCTCATCCACATACCTTGTTTGCTCTTCCTCAGGACTGCCTTTAAGAATTATATCTAGTACGTAACATGTTGTGCTATATATCATAAATAAGCTATATATACATTTATGTGCATGTGCCAAATCAAGTAAATGCCTTAACAATTGTAATGATAAAGTGAAATTAAAAAATGGTCTATTACCACAATACTGCAATGTCTAGTCCTGAATAAGCTGTGTTAGGGTAGAAGTCAATAGAGCATTACTTTCCTGCCTATTCCAACTGAACATAAGAATCATGACTGTAAACTAAACAGAATTGCCCTGCAGTTTACTTGTATTCCCATGACACTATTTGGAGAAGCAATGTTGCCCTAAATATAATTTAAAAAGCAGCAAAATCTGAAGTTGAAAATGACTGTATGTGGAATGAGAATGTACATACTATTAAATAGTTCACATTCATAATTGTGACTCCCTAGATGCTATGAAGTTTGTCTTGATATTAATTTCAATAAACCCTCACTAGAACTTGGAGATTGTGTTTAATGGATTTTTTCCTGGTCCAGCATATTATCTCTTTTTCTTTCATTGTGCAGGTTCTGCTGATCTTCTTCTTTGTGTCCCATGCTCTTCTTGTCCTGCACTGGTCTACTCTGGTATGTTTGCTCAGATAATTATGGGTACTATCTACAACTGCTCAACGTTTAGATTTTTTTAAATAACTAGTCCTCATGTCATCTGATGAGAAATTTATTTCCCTTCAAGTACTCTGCATTCTTTTTCTTTTTGTGATGTCCTGTGGCTCTCAGTCTCCTTTAATTCATATTGAGGAGCTGAGATAGGGATCTTACACCCCTTCTCCCTGTCAAGAAAATCAATTTTATATACATAGGAGATAAGATATCCCACCCCACCCCAATGTACAGACTATATCATTAAATGTCTCCTAGAGCTGTGGCATCTTAGATAATTTCATATCCATGGACATGATGCTATTGGATGAATTGGATACTCAAAGATGAATAGTTCACTGATATTTTCTCAAGTATATCACAGGAAAAAAAATCCAAGCACTCAAATCAAATAAGAATGCATTTTAAGACCATCTCCTCCTCTTTCATGCTAGTGCTGGCCTCTTTTCTGTAGTAACTCTAGCTTAGTGGTCATCAGCCATTATAGAAACACCCAGAGTAAGGGAAATGTGCTGCTTCCCCTGGTTGCCAATTTAACTTTGTTTCTCAGTGGTCCAACAATTATATATTAGGAAATCCCCTAAAGACAAACTTTCGTCAGTGCACCACTATGTTGTTAACAGGACATAATGTTCATTGCACATGTTTTATCATAAAACATGGAGAATATCTTAGAAATCATGGATAATGTGTAATATATAGAAAAAAATGCATAAGCAATGAAAAAGAGCAGTCTAGAGACTTACAGCAATCTATATAGAAGAATGCTTTGTTTCTACTGTGAAATAATACAAGATCTCTTTTAACTGGCTATATACCTATGTTTATATTAACCTTGAATGGATCCATCTATCTGTACCTATATTTTCGGAAATGGAAAATTTATACAGTATTATTCATGAAATTGAATTATAACAATGAATATCAAGGTATTATGTGAAATATAATTCAAGTTTTATTATATATAATCCATATATTTTATACAATGGTGTATTTACAGCTGCAGACTACTGACTGGGTGGTTAGAAACAAAAATTCTATCAGTAACATTATGTGATGATAGGTCCTTTCTTATATATGTAACATTTCTATAATAAGCATGTATTGCTTAAGTTGTAAAAATCAAAAATTAGAACTTACTTGAAATTACATTTTTACTGTGCTCCAAAATCTGAATCTTTGTAGCTACCTTATATCTAGTTCTGTCGTTTTGTGTTGTGTACAAAAATTGTGTCTCTCTTCCACAGGACTACAACTTACAGAAAAGAAAGGTCGCATAACTTTCTTCTTCAATATTAAAAATCTTTTTTGTTTTATATACATGCATAATGCCCTTCAATCTAAATGAATAAATCATTCAAGTCTTTACACTTAATAGTGGTTTATAATGAAGCAGGAACTATTCCAGAGAATAAAAAATAGCTATTGTAGGTGACTTGCATTTACGAAATGATGTAGTCCCAGACAGAGCAATTATTATCATAAAAATTTGGATGCTTCTAATAGCTAATGCTTGTTAGCATTAGGTGGAGATGTGTGCGGCAGAACACTGTCTTGATTAATAGAGGACCATGAGAAAGTGATATATAAGGGTAAAACTTAAAGGTTGATAGGAGATATTATATAAAGGGATTATCTGGAGTGGGTTGAGATAAGTAGAGCTTTCTAGCTAAAGGAAAAGTAGATAAAAAAAAAAACAAGTGGATTCCTTTTTCTTTCTCCCTTCCTCCATTTCTTCCAATAAATACTGAGCAGGCACTGTGCATAGTTCTTTTTTCAGATCTTCTGAGTAATTTGGAAATTAAAATTTATTTTAAAATGTATTTGTGGCCTACCTGGTGAATCAGAAATATCAAAAATGAGGTATTCTAGGAACATGTGTCTTCCTAATGTTCTTCTAGAAAACAATTCAGGCATTCCTTTCTCCTAAGCAATAGCTTAGCATAGCTCCAATGCTGAAGTCAAACCTGTATGGTCTTATTCACATTATGTCACCTTTGGGTTCTAAATTCAGCTCTTATTATTTTTTCAGGATAGAAATCGTGTGACATGGCTTGTTAGTATTTTTCACGGACTGTATTTGGAAAGAAGCAAGTCTGTTTTTAACAGTCTAAATATTTTTTTTATTTTTATCGACTTCCAATGTTGTACACAAAAATCATTTTATGCAGATATCAGAAATTGACATACTGTTTAAAAAAAGGAGGCTAATGCAGTTAATACTCTAAGGTCAATGTCATTGTAAAAATTCATATAGAATAAAAGAAATCATTCAAATCCCACACTTTCTTTTTAATATACTGCACTATAGATATACTATTAAGCATACTTTCTTTTGTTTTGTTTCTATTCTACAGGTCTGTGAAGCAGGCAGAAGAAGTTGCAAGTGGTCCTTAAAATCCTTATTATTCAAATCCTTATGCAATTAAAATTTTATTTATTATGTATAGTGATTTAGAGAATGGTTATTTTTATATTAATAATAATAAACAAGTACTGTGTAAGAAGGAGGTGTGAAAGAGTGTAATTAAAAAAAAAAACCTTGGCAAAGGATTCTGGAGAGGTCAGGATACCTACCTGTTCCCCAGACTGATTACTTTCTACCTACCCATTAAGATTACTATTTGATACATGAAATATTGCCTGATTCAAATAAATTTGCTTAAAATTTTTGTGTATTTTAACTTACCTAGGATTTTCTACTTCTTCTATTTTTATAACTTTTTTTTCATTTTTAGATTAATAAACATTATATGTAGCATATGTGCCCCAGTGTGCTGGTTAAGTCTCTCTGGAGTTGTTCGGTAGTGTCACCTGCCATAGGTGTTTTGTGGAGGAGCAAAAGGCATATTCTTCATCATTGTTCCTTATTACAATAATCTCCCCTGTTCTATCAAGACAAATAATAAATATGCTAATTAAATAAAGCAAATCAGTAAGGAATGAAATGCATGCTTCAAAGCATATACAATGAAAATTGTTTGACCATTTTTCCAGTTATTAAATCCAATTATGATTATCCATTTTAAATTTGATATATGCTTGCTTATGGAATGTGTTATGCATCAAAGCTAAGTGAATGGCTCTCAGTAAACCTAGAGTATCTCTACTGTCTGTTTTATCTTATTTGTCTTAATCTAAGTTTGTTTTCTGGACCCTAAATTTGTTTTCTGGACCTTAAGGCATAAGGTTAAAATACAAACTGCAATTAAAAAGTATAAAACTGCCTGTATATCTGTCAAGGACACACATGTTAAAGGTCAGAACATGGCTAAAGAATAAACAAATTATTATTGTATGAATGAAGTTATAGTCCTAATTCAAATAACTTAATAAATTTTCTTATATTAACATTTTATTGTGCACAGAACATTATGAGGCTAATTTTCATAAATGTTATTGATTTTTACAGGTAGATATAATTGAAAATCTTAGAAAATTGTTTATTTTCTATATTTTTGTTTGTTTGGAAAAGAAAAGATAATAGAATAAGTTTATGGGGTGAGAATTCTCCTTTTTTAAAAAATCCTTCCATGAGGAATATTTCAAAACTGTTCAACTGAAGATTTAAATGTCTTCTGTTTTAGATATAGTTTTTCTTTAAACACATCACCCCAATACCTTCACCTGAGCCATTTTTCCCACCAACTGCCAGTCACTTGGTTAGTTTTTATCCTTCTACCCACTCATCTTTTCCTCAAGATGATAATTCTCCTAAGTGTCACATCAACCTCAGGAATAAGACCAATACTATTATTAAATGTATATTGCCTATATGCTATTAAAGACAAGCAAATCCAGGTAAGAATTAAAGTGACAAGGATAAACTTTAATTTATTCTAGATCATTGTAGTCAGGAAGAGGGTCTAACATGAATTGAACTCAACCTCCACTTGTACAAAGTTGACTGCATGCTTTAAAGGTAGAATAGGGAGGGGAGGAGAGCTTGAGGATAGAGAGTTATAGAGCTTCATCCGAGTCAGAACAGTGGAAGTTTATAAAATCAGGAAGGAGGTTTGGTCCATAAGAAATTCACATAGATTTGCTAACTGGCAATTATCGAAGTTTGACCCTTATCCACCTATAGAAACTGGGAGATGAGGCCTCTCTCCTCTGGTGCCAGCCACTGTGAATGAGTTTGGTCCCTGGCCCAGGTGCTGACCCACATGGCACATTGTGTTTCAGTAGATCTGTCTGTCCTGCTCCTCACTGTGTCTCTAGCAAATCCTCTCACCCCCACCCGATACACACCTCTGACCTATACCCCAGCATAAATAAATAAATTAATTAATTAAAGCTTTAGAAAAAAAAATAAAAATTGTCATCCCAAAGATACTACCTGAAACGATTAGAAACTATGTTAGTGTATGTCTAAGTATTATAATGTAGAAGAGGCTTGGTCCTGAGAGTCTTTAGACCAATCATGAAAAGGATTCAGTGGCCAGTCTAGAGCTTGGCCAAGATGAGTGCCAACTTGGCATATCACACATATAGACACACCACAATTCCTGCCCTCTCTTCTTTGTAAATTCCTATAACCACTTTCAGCAGTGAAGGAAAGTAAAAGGTTATACCTTAAATCATGAAATTTCTCCAACGTTATTTTCCTCTTTCCTGTTTTAATTGTCATGCACAAAATCTGAATCTCATGGCACTCATCTCAGCTCTCTTTATTCATTTTTCCTATTTTCTTTTTATTTCTTAACATAACTTGAGAGTTTTTGTAATGGCATTGCTTGAAAAACCCGCACAAAAAGGGTTCTTCACATAGATGGGCCAAACACTACACGACATACACTTCAGCGACATCTTTGAAGATACAGCACCTAATGCAACGATAGTGAAGGCAAGATAAACAGATGGGACTACATCAAGTTAAAGAGCTTCTGTACAACAAAAGAGGCATTACAAAAAACAGACATCCCACTGATTGGGAAAAATTTTTCTCACACAAAGCTAGCAATAAAGGATTGATCACAAAGATATATGGAGAACTGATGAAAATCAACGAAAGTAAACAACTCCATCAAAAAATGGGCAGAAGAGCTAAAAAGACACTTCTCCAGAGAGGAAATGCAGATGGACAACAAGCATATGAAAAAATGTCCAACATCACTTGTAATAAGGGAGATGCACAGTGAGATACAACCTCACCCCAGTGAGAATGGCACATCTTAAAACTACCAGCAACAACAAATGTTGGCGAGTTTGTGGAGAAAAAGGAACTCTTCTGCACTGCTAGTGGGAATGCAAACAAGTACAACCACTATGGAAAACTGTTTGGCGGGTCCTCAAACTGCTAAACATGGAGCTTCCATATGACCAGCAACCCCACTCCTAGGTATCTACCCAAAAGACATAAAAACACTGATTCAAAAAGATATATGCACCCCCCATGTTTATTGCTGCTTTATTTGCAATTGGAAAGACATGGGAACAGTCCAAATGTCCAAAAGTAGATGATTGGATTAAAAAGATGTGGTACATATAAACAATGGAATATCACTCAGCGACAAAAACAAAACAAAACAAAACAAAACACATGCATTTTGCAGCAACATGGATGGGGCTAGAAAGATCATGCTTAGTGAAATAAGCCAAAAAGAAAAGGAAAAATACTGGATGGTTTCACTCATAGCAAGAGTATAATGGACCAGAAGAGAAATTAATAATAATAATGAACAGCTATTGAACAGCTATATACCAGAGACATTTTATAGGGGTGGAGTGGGGAATGGGGTCAAAAACAGTGGGGGGAGGGAAATGCATTGGACACTATGGTGATGGCACATGGGTGACTTGGTGATGGGAAGCCCAAGGGGATTATAACTGAGATTTTAAAAAACGCACAAAATGATGTAAAAATAAACATATGTGTGTATACACACACACACATATATATAAGGAGTTCTTCAGATTTCCTACTCTAAACAAATGATTTTGGTTCTTTAGTTATGCCTTGATCTCTGGATGTCTCTAACTGGGTTTATGGTAGCCTCTACCCTTACGAATGTTCAGGTCAGACCTTTTCAAGGACGTCACAGTCTAGTGAGGGAAATATACCTATGAGCAGATAATTTAAATACAATGTGATTATGTGCAATGATGAAATCATTTAAAAACTAGGTGACTCTGGGAACACAAAAAAGCAGGTGTGGAAGTATGTGGGATCAAGACTTGGAAGACAATATGTGTGAGGTAGGTGGAAAGTCAAAAAAGTTCCCATGGATGAATAATGCCTCAACTGGTTTCCTAAGAATAGAATGAAATGCAGTCAATTAGATGACAAGGGCAAATGATATGGTTTTAGTAGAGTCTTGGTGAGCAGAGTGTGCACAGGAAGAACAGCAATAAACACATTTTATTTATTGTTACAGCATATACAATATGATGTGATATGATGTGGCAGTTGATAGGATGGAAAAGTGGGTATGGACTGGGGCTAGGATAAATCATATGTCATCCACTGGTCTTCACTCTGGTTATTCATTAGAATCACAGTTGTTTAACCCCACTCTCTGAGATTAAAGAGTCAATTGGTTAGAAAATGATCCAAGTCATTTGCAGTGTTGCCAGTTGACACAGATGAGAAGTTACTAGCATCTTAATCATAAAAGCTAGTATAATATCTATAACATTTAGAGGGCAAGTGAGACACAGGGAAGAGTTTTGAGCTGGGAAATAGTGCGATTTGCATATTAGAAAGACAATGTTTGACTTCAGTGGAAATTGGATATTAAAGCAGCAAGACAGGAGATTGGGAAAATGGTTAAGATGTTGCTCTAATCAACATTGGAGACAGAGAAGTACTTAGAAGAGGAATTTAGAAAGTTGTTTATTATAGTGGAGTGTGAGGAATTACAGATAACGGAAGACTTTTGGTCCAGACACTTGGTAGTGAACCATTTTTGGAATGAGAAGTACAGGCTGAGTTCAGATAGGGACATGTCAGATTTAAAGAGACTGGAGACATAGTCTAGGTTTTCAATATCATCAACATCAAGGTGGTCAAATAGCATAATAGTAATCAAGGCAGTTGATGACATCTCCCTATGAGAATCTCTGTAGTGAAAAATGGACAGAAGTCCCGGAAACATCCAGTACTTAATGAATTGAAAAAGTGATTTCAAGAGTAAAGATGTTTTGTACACTGGACATAGTGGGTGGCCCACACAGTTTCTTGGAAGCAGAAGGTCAAGTTCTATGTACTTCAAGGTCTGCAGTTCCTGTAAGCACAGCTGGATTTCTGAGGAGAGACAAGCATGGGCTCATTTGTTGAACAACCTTTAGTAGTCTAGTTTAATGAGGCTGTAGAAATTTCCTGTGGAAGCTATATGAGTATGGGAAGGCAAACGTAAGGAACAGAAAGTTTTCTTATTTAGGAAGAAAAACTAAGGCATTACCAATTTTAGGTCTTTTTAGTTCATTTGTAGGAACATCTGTCTTGAACATTCTATTTTCTGAAAAATGATGAATAAACAACTAAAATCTTTAAAAGAGAACTTAGTCTAATTCTTTTAGTCCTATTGCAACATTTTTATCTTCCTTTTTTTTCCCCCTCAAAATAATAAAATGGAAGTTTTGGGTTGGTTGTGAGGAAAATAACCATTGCCAGCTGATGAACTCAGTCTTATAAGATACTTCTTTGAGCGAAGCAGAGAACATAAATCATTTTGCTT